TGGCTGAGCGATTCAGTGCAAACAAGTAGACTCGTACTTTTTATCAAAGTGCCCCCCGTCCACATAAAAAAGTCCTGAGTTGAGATTCCTCGATGAGTTCAATTGTTTTCTCCGTTGCTGGCCTTTAGGAAAGACTAAGTGGACTACTGCAAGTTGATTCTCACAATCAGTTGCAGAGACACGGTATTTGCAGTCTGGCGACGGTAGACGATCCGTCGTCTCCTCTGGTTCTTCCTCCCCCACTTAACCCTCTCAGTATCAGGCCATTTACTACGTTCATCTTTCCATAGCTGGCAGGTTACTTTTAGGTTGCGGAAGAAGCGAATATTTCAAGTAGGTAAGAGTAACCTAAAATGTTTTTGCTTGGTTCACAGTGGGTAGGGGAGGGGGAGAAGGCTAGCCTATGTCGTTGTACGACAACGAGTTACAGCGGTTTTTCCATGAAGTCGACTTGGGCTAGGCTCAGAATTTGTAGTTCTACTCGTTACAAGCAAAATCAATTTCGGCATATAAGCGAGTGCTAACCTGGGTACGTCTTACGTGGAGGACCCCAACAGGGTGGTGGCGAGGGGAGGGGCGTACGATCGCTGGAAGGGAGGTCATATTTGGTTCTGGGAACAACTTTTTCCGGTTGTTGGATTTTCCGTTTCCACGCGCTATATACATCCTAATTGACCACAATTTTTTTCCAAATAGGTTGCTAGGGGGTTAGGCGGGTTGTGGAAGGGGGTACTACCGAAGGAGAAAATGGAGGGGGAGGTTGTCCCCAATTCCAGGACATACCCCGTCTATAATAGTCGTGCGTTTAACAAGTTCTTGACCCCCCTAGTCGATGTGCTGTCCCGTCGTTCCCTTCATTTTTCACCACCCCGTTATCGATTCTCATTCTCTTGGTGGTGGCCGGTTCGTCGTTGACACTGGCGCTCTGGCGCTCGTCCTTTCAGTGCGACTGCTGATGGTTGACGTTATCACTTGGGGTATCCCCCATCTGCCTGTTTCACGTTGAAAGTGCATTTTCTGTCGCTGTGAACTAACTCTCCGTGCACTTTTTATGTCACATTTTAGTGTGGCAATTGTTACGACGTAAACAACTTTGGACCTTGGATGTTTCTTGTACCTTCATCTCAAGTCTGGTTTAGTCTTGTGACAACAATTTTTTAGACACTTTAAATATCGGGGTTTCCCTTCGAGACTGACAGTTGGCGTCTTGCAGGGGTGGGAGCTGACGAGTCCAAAATCAAATCGTTCAATACCCTGATAAGAAGTTTTGAAGCAACACATGGGCTTTAAATAGGGGGATTCCCCGCTGGGAATCGCCACTGACTTGCTGCATGTGTGGCTGCTAGCGTCTGGGCACGTCCTACCGTTGGGGAGAATACGGCCCTCCTCCATCGGCGCCACCCCATCCCTATCCTCCATCTTACCTTTTTACTTCCCAAGTAACTAGCCTTCCCACCATCCCCAGCTACCCTACCTACCATCTCTCAACTTGCTCCCATACCTACCTCTCCCAACTTGCTACCCTACCTACCACTTTTCTGGAACTTTTCCCAAAATTCTCCGGTTTTTCGCTCAAAAAAAACTCCCGTAGATAGGGAAAGGGGATGTAGCATATGTAAACTTGGAACAGGAGAAACTGAGAAAACTCCAACTCCGGAAGAGATTGTCCTCGAAGGCCAGCCCCCCCCCTCCACGTTCGCTACGGTTCCTATCGTATGACATGCCCTGGCTGGTATCCCTAGTGCACTTTTTGTTGGTTCTAATTCCTCTAACAGGCATAACTGGTACTTTGATAGGCGCAACGTAACGAACGTAGCTGGGACGGGAGTGGGGTACGTTTTCACTGCGCTTCTTTACCCCTTCCCCATAAACATATAGGCCTGGAGCGCAAGCGACCACAGTTGCTGACAGATAGTCCCGCTGAGGAGTTATAAATTCTCCACTAAACCCTAAGCTACATTGAAGAAGGGATACAGAGGCGCTGGCGAATGATGTTCCCCCCCCCAAGTACTTTAGCGTCCTTTGATGTGATACTTTGTCCCATGTTCACACCTGCTAGGATCGTTTCTGTGGTGTACCTGGGTAATCGTAGACACTGGCGCGACACATGCCCATCTATCTTCCTATTGATTAACCCTTGGCGTCGTATAGCTGGGCCGACTTACAGCCGCCCAGTTACTCGTTAACATTTCTTTCTCTCGTTTTCTTGCTTCTCTCACGGATTTTATATCGTTATTGACAAACATAAGATGTTTTTGTTATGACGTTCTTAGTAGGGGGGGGGGACAAAGGTGTTTGCTTTAAGTAAACGAGTAAAACGAGATAGTAATTTCGTCGTTTTCCTGGGCTGAACGAGTAGTTGAAGAAAGAGGTGTGTGTGGGTTTTGGATACCGGTACGGTACCAATGTGCAGTTTTGCGTAACCTGTAATTTTTCCACGAGCGAGAGAAGCGGACGAATCACTTATGAGTCACTGAACGGCTTATAAAAGGGCGGTGGGGGGCATTTGTACACTCGATAGTTCCTTTCGTTAGTGCCTGTCATCTAACTTGTAAAGCCTTGCGAAGCTGCGAAATACAGGTCTTCACAAAGCAGATTGTACAGGCCTCGCTGAGTACCATTTTGTCCCCACCAAGTCAAACTGCGCCCACTTATTATTTGGTGAATGTAAGTGCTGCCCATTTATCCCAGAGCTCCATTCTCCCTTAGAAATTGCACGTAAAGCTAGCGCTGACCCAAAATCGCAGACTTGCATCGCTCGTACCACCCATTGACCAAAGAACGACCATATTTGTCCCTAAACTGGGTTGACCCTTTTTACCCCCTCTTCAACCGCAATACTTCTACAAACTTCTTCTGAGGTTTCAGTTCTTTAAAAACTCGTGAAAATCTACAAAACTGAAGGAATACTGTGGATGGGATGGGGGGGGGGAATCTATAGAACCTGCTGTCTTGGATACCAACCAGACAATTAATATGTTGATTTTTACCGGGGAAATATCTTGGAAATGTGGTAAATTCTTCCTGACCAGGACCCCTCCTACCTCCTTATTTGAGACGTCCCCACCCCTACTAGTTCACCCGAAGCCGTCAGACGAGGTAGAACGGGGTAGATGGGGCTGGAGACGACGATGTGGGACTCACCCTACTCTACTCGCCAACGGACCAATTATGCTCCGCCTCCCCGATCCTCTCCACCCCCACCCCCCCCCCCACCTAAACTGGTGGATTCCACAACAATGACGTTCGCCGATTCCGTCTTCGCTATGCTGAGCTGTAGCTGTCGAAGGTCCAAAGACGTTGTCTTCTTGGACTGGAAACTTCTAGGACGCTGGTCTTCTGAGAGCGACTACGCGTCAAAGGTCCGACCGCCAATAAAAGTTCTACCTAACAGCCCGGTAGCACCCGAAAACCGTCAAATGTGGAGAACGCGTCGCTTGCAAGAACTTATCGCTGTCAATCTAAGCGCTCAAAAATCGCGCCACACTGTTACGCCGATTACCCGTTTAATTAACTCGCCATTAGTAGCCGGGCACGTTCCGCGACGGCTCGTCGGCATGAGTAACCCGCCCATCATGTTACGCTCACTTGTCACCTCCTACGCATTGGCCATGAACGGCATTCCCTATTTTGCCATGCCACTTACTTAGCCTAAGGGCTGTTTGTTGGCATTTGCACTCTAGGGCGCACTCGGCTACCGCGGGGGGTGGGGCTGAGGGCATATTGCACTTTCGCTACTTCACTGGCTGCGGTTCACAAGTCTTACTCTGTTGGAACCTGTGAGGTCTTGTGAAGAACCTGTCAACTCTTCTCTAGATGGCCCGACACGTCAATGGGAAATAGGAAAAGTGCAAAGTGCCCCCCTGCGCCCACTATAGCATTTTATGTGAACTTGTGAACGTGCAGTGCGAAGTTCCGCGTTTTTCAATTCCCCGATTCCAGAATCGTTTCCCATTGCACGATTTGTTTTCGTTTTCAGCTGAGCGATGGTGTTTGCATATGCTGACTGGTATACCATTATGCACGTTTTGCGATCGGGGGTTCCCCCATTCCTTCGGCATGACGTCACATTGTCAGCCGCGTTACCCCCCCCCCTCCCCCGCCCACGTGTCAAATGTATATAAACGTTTTGGGATTGCCATCGTGCCGTGATAAACACCAGCGCTCTGCTCATTCTTTGTCATCCATTCATCGTGGGACGTTCACTAGGGGGGGGGGTGCCTTGTTGCACTGTTGCTTCTTCCCATCAACGTATGGAGCTATCAAGTCGAGACCTGTGAAATCTTGTGAAATGATGGTGGCTCGACCAGCTTGCTTCAGCTTCACAAGAGTTCACAGGTTTCACCAGAGTGAGACTTGTAAACCGAACTAGTGGAGCAGAACAGGTGCATAATGCCCCTCCCCTCTCGTCCAGCTGCGCCTCACGCTCTGTTTCATTTCCCGTATAACTTTGCTCTCACTTTTTCAGTTTCCTTCCCCACATAGACTTTACTAAATATACTGTTCCAGGTAATATAACCGGGGTTGATCGAGAAGTGTATATTATGTTCTTCCTGACATACGCGTGAAGCGTGGACGTGCTGACTTGTACGAAGTTGTCTAGTCCCTGTTCTATTATTGGTAAGTTACTTGTTCAGCACGTCTACAGTAATCAGTACTCAAATCTGGCACTTACAGGTCTTGATTTTTTCGTGCAGTTCAAAAACGTTGAACGCATCCGTAACTATGATGTCTGCCACCACGAAGGACAGTTCTCTCTTTACACAGCTTCTTTCGAGAACCTTCTCTCATAGGACTTCTCAAGGTCAGTTCAGCCCTCCTGGACGGAATTTTCGTTCTGAAGCTAAAGTAATTCGGCCAGAATCCCGTTTCAGCACCAGGGCACCTCTCAGAAGATGTTCACGGCATCTCTCATGGTCAGAAGAATGTTCATTGGTAGATAGGATAGGTGAAGGAAGGGGGGGTGGAGGTTGGGCGGAGGGTCGCAACATCGGAGGAAGTTCTGAGGGGGGGTCGTACTTTGCAAAAATTTTTCCCAGTGGTGCTGACTGCCCTCTTTTCCGCTGGCGCGTAATTGCATCAGCGGCAAAGATTGGCAGTTTGGTGAAGGAATAGAGCTTTATTTGGGTAGCAGCACACAGCCGATCGCCCGGATGTGGGACCTTAAATATAGCAATTAGCAGAGAAGTAATACCGCATTCTTGAACGGAGTGATCAAGGGCGGCCCAATAAAGCTGAGAGGCCTCATTCTTTTCAAAGCTCAGGCATATCTAACTTATATTTGACCATTAATCGCCCCCTCCTGCAGAAAAAGTGGAACTCTCTCAAAACTTTCGGGATACCCAGATCGATACCTTTCCACCATCACCTTGACGGCAAAACTTCTATCTGTTCATGCTGTTTGCAAGATCATAACCGATTTTCATTTGCAGTTGCGACCGCACCGTCAGCAACGGAGAAGCAGCAACAGTCTCTGTCGCCATCTTCAGATAGTCTTCAAAATACATGTGAGTCTAAATTAGAATACTTCCTGTGGTCCCCTCAGAAGAAAAAAAAACGAAAAAATTGCGACCCGACACCGGCATCAAAAGACAAAACCTCGGAAAAGTGCGCTCTAGGAACTAGGAAACCTCCGGACGCAGTTGGCTGAGGAGATTCTCCAACTTCCTATTGGAAACAGCCACTTCTGAAGAGGAATTATTTTTTGTGGGAAGATGATTCATCCAGCCGCAATATTTCGCGGACACATGCAAATATTGTCGTTTAGCGAACCCAATCTGCACTTTCGTTTTCGTCTACGGGATGTTTTTTGGTGTTGACCCATTTCAGACCCTTTATTGTAATCGCTTGTGGTCGGTTACTACATCAAATTCTGCTGTAACAACTGTAGCGCGAACTGACCTAAACCACGTGGGTGGCCATGTGCGACCGTTCCACTGGGCCATACTGGACGGGTTTCTTTGGCAGGCCGTTTGGACAACTCCTAGGCAAGGCCCTTTTCCTCTGCCCACGCATCGCCCTAATGCGAAATCTCCTTAATCAGTATTCGCCTGGAATTCTGAACGCCATTCCTTTTGCGTCACTCGCGCCATTAAATGCATACGTTCCCCCGCATGTGTCGGCCGAATGCATAATTGATTCTCCCGGGGGTTGTTTGAATGATTCACAAAATGAAAGCGTGGAGCCCACGCTGTTCGGCGACGGGGGGGGCACTGTGCATGCTTGCTATTTCCCATCCACGTATCGAACCATCAAGTGGAGACCTGTCGACTTTTGTAAAGAGTACTTGTCAACCCTTGTTAAAGGCATGAAATATCATACAAATGACGTTTAAGAAGGGGCTGGACGAGCCTGCTCCTGCTTCACAAGAGCTTACAGGTTTCATCAAAGTCACACGTGTAACTGAAAGTAATGAAGCAGCAAGGGTGCGAAATCCCCCTCCTTTCCCATGTCGCCGAGCTGTCCCAGATGATGTAGTCACCCCAAAAAGACATACTATAAATATTAATTGAACATTTTTAGGCTCCAGTCAAGCGTTCTTTCAAAGCGGTCTCGATTGGGGACGCCGAGAGCCTTATTTGAGGCTTGCTCATGTGTTCGATACCAACAACTACTGATCACTTATTGCTTTAATATATGTCGTCGATTTGTGTCTATTTTGCTGCCGCCGTTCGGCTAATATGGGTTCTCTTCGTATAATATATATGAAGCAATGAAAGTATTATGTTACATTTTGTACTGCCTTGTATTTCATTTCGACATATTTGGGCGACGGGGCGGGGGCATTTTGCACTTTTGACGTGTCGAGCCATCCAGAGAGCTGTTTCATGCGCTTGTAAGAGTTGACAGGTTCTACCACGGTGACTCGTCGAGCCTGCTCCACCTTCACAGAAGCTCATGGGTTCATCAGAGTGAATTATTCAAATCGGAAGTAGTGGAGCAGCGAAAGTTCAGAATGCTCCCCTCTCCTGTCGTCGAACTGCCTCCACATTTACAGAGGACGTGTTGTACAGCACTGCCTAACGCGTGATTGCTAGGTGTTGTGATCTTTGGTTCGGTGCTGATGCGCAGTTGACGGAAGTGCCTTGGTGGGGGTAGTTGCCGCCAGTCGGACGATCGCGCTGATTACGGTCAATTGAGAGCGATCAGCTGCGTTGTCAGCGCATAGTCTGGTTCGATTGTTGGTGGCGTGACGTTAGGGCTTGTGTTTGTTAAATGAATGAACGAACCAGGCAAAGCAGTGCTGCACCAGGAGGTCGGGGAAAGGGGGGTCCATGGGACGGGTGCATTGTTGTTGAAACTTGAGTGTTGTATACTCTGAAACGTTATGATGGATTGCGTGTGATTTTTCATTCCAAGAAGCTTATAAAATTCAGAAAAAATTCCTCAGAATGTTCTCTTAAAATATTTCGCTGCATTAGTGTAGTTAACTTTAAATGAATATAAATAATAAATCAAAATAAGCGTACTAAACCCATTCGATCTACAGCTGCAAGGTTTTTGTTTGACAGCTCGCTCGCGCTGTCAATCAAAAACATTTTCTGACCAGTCTGGCTCGGAGGGGGCAACAAATGATAGCGAAGCATTTACAGGCCAGCTAACGAAAACCTGTGAAGACTTCAGCAAAAACGGCTCAGTGTAGCTCTTGGAAGAACCACAAGAGTTTACAAGTTTTACTAGATAGGTAACTGACATGTAGCAGCAAGAGGGACTGGAAAAGTGCGAAATGCCCCCCCCCCTCCTGATTCAAATCCATCCACTTTCCTCCAGCAGATAAGGTATGACCATCGTTTGTGGACCCTCGTGAGTTCAATATTCTTTGGGTATTATCTAGTTGCTCCAGTAAAAAAATATTTCAGCCTTGACGAAGGTGCAATGAAATATTGCTGCCCAATATTTCGAAAAGCTTTTCTGGATCTTTCGAGTTTGTGGTAGTGAAATTTTTGAAACCTCATATTGTTATTGAGGTGGAGGTGGTGTAATGGCGAGTGGCAAGCTAATCACGCTCGCAATCGGAGACCAGATCCCGGCCCCACTCCCACACAAGGCCACCAGGACTTCTTCACTGTGGAAACGATAAACTAGTAACACAATTGGTACTACCGCTTGTACAACGGCTGGCCCAAGGAAGTCATTGTATAGGCCACATCACACTCCATAAACAATCTACCATTCCGAGTGGATGTTAAGTGCGTGTCGCATCCTAAAAAGGGGAAGGGAACTAATCAGCGGCGAAGACTTTACCCTGTTGTCCCACATTGAAGAAACCTTCCCAAACTGATGCGTTCCTTCCGTTCGATAGGAAAACCAGGCATTGAAGCACTAAAGGCATTCTATTGTACTTTATATGTGATCTCTGTTGTAATTTGTTATGGTTGTCCCAATAGTACATTTGAATAAATAATATGAAAGATGTCTGCGTTATGGAAAGGAAACTTTCAGGACAGCATTTTTTTGCACACTTTGAGCAGAATAATGTTTGGGGGGGGAGGGCTGGCTGTAGAGCATGGGGGATGGGGCTGTACAACCATGTTCAGCTTAGGTGAAACCGGACCTTCTATCTGTCCGAATCATGTTTGTTTTCGACTCGTTGCGTGACTAGTCATACATGCATTCAACTACCTCCACCACTCCACCTCCACACTGGCGAACGTCACTACCCCCTGGTCGTGGTACGGAACTGCCACTTATGAGAGCTGCACCGCCTTCATTACCACTTCTGAAGCCTCGAAAGTGGGATAATCTTGAAGACTAATGACCAGACTACTTGTAAGGAGGGACGCCCGCGAATTGTTTGAGAGCGGGGTTTGTGCTTCACGTTGAGTTACAGAACAAGAACTTGTCAGCTTTCACAGCGCCAGTGGAAATATCGGTTTGTTGCTGGAACTAATGTTGTTTCTCTAAAAGGGGCAGGTTTCTGATGCATGATTCTCGAGCAAAGCAACAAACATCGAATGCTTCTGTTATTATGGCGCATCTGATAGAGGGAAGGGGTCATCGAGCAATTAATGAAGAAGGCATCAATTATCATGTTCGGTGCCATATGCAGGTGCGCAGAGAAATCCTTATGGTTAGTTACGAATGCGACCAAAAATCAAGGATTAGGAAGGCCACCTCATTCTCCAAGAAATGAAAGATCAGTCTGGGTGGGAACAAATGCGGTCTTGCATTGATTGGACGGGGCTAGGCTACCGGCCACATCTTCAGGGACATCAAGAAAATCCAGGACGAGCACCCCGTCGATGGTCAGGCGTTCTCACTAGGTTACGCAGGAAAGAAGCCTTGT